TATATAATATATATATATATGTAATAATAAAATTGAAATGAAATGATAGAGTTTGATGAGTGATGATGAGATGAGCGCGAGACAGATGCGACAGATTGCAGCGAAAGGAGGGTGACTGGGAGAGTTCGTCATAACTAACCCCGCTGCATCCATCTATTTTAATCTTACTTGACAATCACCCGTATGTTAACGACCCAAATTTCTGTTAGTCCGCTTAGTGAGCCTACCATACCTGTCAACAGGTGCAACGCTAAATGCCAATATACAGCAATACCAACAACACAATAATACAATTCTCAAAGTTTCAATGAAATCAAATGTGCAATGATAGGGATTTTCAAATAAAAGGTGAAATTTTAATCATAAATATATATTAAACTACGAATAACTTAACACATAACGAAACACGTTCATACGCTTAACTTTCACGCACGTCAATAATTTCAGGTTGTATTACAATAATGATTCAGACAAATTTAAATATGAAATTTTGTCATCAAAAAACGCTATTTTACACTTTTTTTTAACATTATTTTATAGAAAAATGTATGCAAAATTAGAAAATAAAATATTAGCTGTTAGCTAGAAGTGTTGACTGTTAACCGGGAATATTGGCTTTTAAGATGCAAAATATAACTGGAACAAATGACAGTATTTTAACGATTAAATAGTTAAATTGCATAATTACTTCGCTCTTTCTTTCTTCCTCTTTATTCTATATGCACTTTTTACAGAGCAACGAATAGTTACAAATTAAAGGAAAAAATTCGTTTGGATCGAATCTGGTTGGTGTCAAATGACTGTCCACATTCTTTTCTCATCGGATGGCCAATTTATAATTTCATCGCTCATTTTGCGTTTGTTTTTTTTTTCTTTTTATTTGCTAATAATAATTAATATAACCATTTATTTTTTATTTTTATTTCTTAAATCCTTTTCTAATCCGGTTTCATTCATTTTTTCCGTTTTATTTCCCACTAATTGAATATCTTCTGCTGAAAAATTTACCATTAATTTGATGAAGACCATAATATTGCCTGTTACATCATAAGTCAATACAACTTTGTTGCAATTCTCATTTCCGGCGAATAAATTTATAAAATCAATTCAAAATCAGATTAATGAAATTTCGATCTGTTTTACCTATAATAAATAGTGTAACAAAAGTAATCGATAAATTATATTGTTTTTGATTACTAAATTTTAAATCATCAACAATCTAATCTGTCGATGAGTGTCGGGCATGAAATTAAGTCATCGAGAGAAGTTGTACTTCTGCGCCCGTTCTTGAGCAATTTCGATATTCTGATGCTATTGATGTTTGTGAACAAAATGAAGCGAGTGTAGAAAATTTGTCGCATAAGTGTTTTTTTTTTAAAAATTTACTAGACATATGAATTTTTTTAAGTAAAAATTTCCCAATTTTCTAAATTACACTCAGAATTTTCCCTTTTTTCAACTACTTCCTTTTAATTGTTATATTTGAAACATTTATTTAAGTGTTCTGCTAAATTTTGGAAGACATTTAAATATTACACTTGAAATATTTTTATTTAAAAGGAGAAAATTTAATAAAGTTTATCTTTTTAAATTCCTTTTAAGTTAAGCAAATTGGAATTTCAAAAAGAAAAATAATAATAAGAAATGAATGAAAATTATGAGAGTATCTAGAAACATTTAATAATCTACAGAACAGAAGATCAGAAACGAGAATGGGAAATGCTATTGCAACAACGAATATTACGAAGTCGTGCGAAATTTTCACCCAGATTTACAACCATCCCAGTTGCGGTATTTATCGATGGACGTACACAGGTATGTTAAAGATTTGAAATGAAAATAGAAACAGGAATTGTCGTATTAGGAAACCGTAATGACAATTATTGTTAATTATATTTTATTTCTGTATTATTCATTTATTTCTTCCAGAATTTCTCCATATTTTTGCTCAATTGTTAAATTGACATTTATGCATGAACGACGAAATTTTCATTTGGTTGTGAAAATCTTGACGATGCTTAATTAGTCAATTAATCACAGTAGTCTTTTGATGTTTCGCATTAAAAAATCATTTTTATCTTTTAATCGCTCCATGTCCATTGTTTGGTGTGAAATTAAATTTTTCAAATTGAAAAAAAAAGTCGTTTTCCTTTGTCAATAGGTTTTAAACCATCCATTTTTTTGACATGGAAATTTTAGTTACGTTGGTAATTAATTAAAAGTATTTCATAGTGTGAAATGAAGAAAGTATGACACATGATTGCATTTGACGAAAATGAAAACGATAAAACGATAAAACCATCGTCTTGATAATTTTGGTTCTAAAAGAGGATTAATGTTGTAAGAAGTTGGTAAAATGAAGGAAAGAAAAATCAGTGATAACAAATGCCATTTATTGCATCTTTTTTTCTTCACAATTAATTAACTCTGATATTGTTGTATTATGTATGTTACAGGTGATGAAGAAGAAAATTGGCATGTCACAAACAACAAATGAAATTTTGCGCGAACTTGTTAATGAGTTAGCTATACCAGTGGAGGAAGAAGTTGAGTTATCATTTGATGCTGGTAACGGAGATGGTATTAGCACATTGCAAGGACCGGAATGTGTTTTTTGTATTGTGATGGAACATGTTAAGAATACTGGTTATCGGTTATCTGAGATACAACTGGAAAAGATTGATGCTGTGCCGTTGATACAATGCCGCTTAGTGTTGGCTTCCGCTGGCAATAATTATTCATCGACATCTTCCATTGTTTCTCATTTTAAGTATAATTTTGAATTTATTAAAATTAATCTAAACAGTAACCTGGTAAACCTTGAATGTTTTTATTTTGGGAAATCTTTTCAAATTCACTTATTTTAGTATGTAAAATTAAAATTTGCTTCACAAAATGAATACTTGTCACTTCTTAACGACATTGTGTTGTATTTGGCTTACAAACCATTTAGTTTTAACTTCTCGTAAAATAACCAGATTTCTGATAGTATCTTTATTCAAGGCGTGTATTAAGTCGATCAGAATCTCGGCGTTTCTTTGGACGACCACTGGAGGGTTCATCGCCACCTCAACCAGTGTTAACGATGATTGACCATTTAATGCTTCACGGAGTGGACGTCGAAGGTTTGTTTCGGAAATCACCCAAACAGAGTACTGTACGCATGTTACGAGCGCAACTTGATCGTGGTTCAGTACCGGATTTCTATCAGTTTAATCCACATGTCACTGCTGCTCTTCTCAAGGTAAGCATGTTAATGTAGATATGCATGGCTAGTGGTTTTTTGATAATCTATAATTAAATGACCGAAATTGGAAGCTGAATGTATTACGAACAGGAAATTTTCTTAATCTTTCATCTTTTAGGAATATCTCCGAGAAATCCCGGGAAAGTTACTCCTATCGGGTAATTTCGAGCTATGGGCAGCAGCAATGGAGCAAACATTGGATTGCCAAAAAGCAATACGCAAATTGTTGTATATGTTACCTTCTGCACATTCCGCGCTTCTCTCCAAATTTCTTCGATTACTTCGAGCAATTGCAAATTCTCCACAATCAAAAATGACTGCTCAATCATTGGCTGTTTGTATCGCACCAAGTCTTCTTGATAATCCAAGTATTTCTTTGCTTTAAAACTTCTATTTTTGTGGGTTTTTTTTTTTCTGAGTTCGGAAAGGTTGCATTTTCTTCACGCCTTACTTTAACAATTATTTCAACATTTGAATAACTACCTGCCGTAGTACATTTCTGGCACAGATAGACTTGTCTAGGCTTGTCCATTTACTTTTAAATATTGGGCAACTGGGTTGGTAGACTTCTAGAATGTTCAGAACAAAAAGCTAGGAAGATTCATGCAAAGCTTTTATCCGATATCGTTGGAAGAGCATAATAACTTACAGTCCGGAAGTTGGGGTCGAAATTTTTTTTTTCGCAGTTAGAACATCCTACTCGATTAAATATTTCTAATCATTTCAAAATTATGGCGGGAAAATTTCTGGACCAGTGCACTGATTAATTCATATCTGTTAGGATTAATTATATTCGTACGTTTTTGGAAACAGATCAATGCGTCATAATTATTCATTGTTATTTTTGAAGAAGGAGATTCTGCTACAAGTTGGCTACCGGATTTGGCGGAATATCTTATTGTCAATGCACCATTCCTTCTCGAACCATTCAAGGATGTTCAGCTTGCTATCTCATCATCTGTTTCCAATGATTCCGGTTTTGCATTTCATTAAATCAACAAAAAAAAAAAAATCGATAATTTAAGTGTTGGTAAAGCTTTAATTTTAATGTGAAATTTGTAAAGTAAATGAAATCTTCCATCTTTAAGGATTATCGGATGTCGATTTATGCTTCGAAACATCGGTCAGTAATTCAGATTCAGGTGTAATCGGATCACCCGCGTCCAGTTGTTCCTTAGGTGTATCACAATCACCTAAGCTAACTTATAACAAATGGGAACATCGTCCTCTACAAACATCATCTTCAGGTTAATAATAAATTTCTTATCGTTAAAAAGTGGTCGATGAAAATTTTACCTTTGTCAATGAAAATGATGGAATGCAGTAAGTTTTTAACCTTTCCAAATCTTCTCAGTTTTTTATGTTTTATTGCTGGAAGTAAGCTCATGTTCATCGTAACGTGTTTCATTTACGTTTATCAGTATTGTAGTCACACAACAGGTGCTACTAACATTGCATTTATGAACACGTGCATAATTTATTGAACGTGTATTAGGAAGAGATGAGGTAGAATTAGATATGTTTATTAATAGAGATGAAAATTGCAGGATACTTTGTGAGTAGCATTTCAACGGAAGGCGAAGAAGAAGAAATTGGTACAGAAGTGGAACAGGATGATAACGATAAGACGCCAGTACTTTCACGTGAAAATTCTGATGTGCAGAATAAATCAATAAGTCCAATGTGGAAATGGAAAAAAAGTGAAGAAAAAAGAAAAATCGAAGAAAAACTATTCTCACGTGGCCCATCAATTTGTTCAAATTCATCTAAAAGAAACGCGATTACTAATGATGAAAACAATGATAAACGAAATACAGAGTGGAAGTTTCGACGGGAATTTGGTACTTCATCGCCATGTCGCCGAAAAATTGAGGGAAGTCCAGCTTCACTTCATCGATCAGGTACACTAGAAAGCAGTCCTTCTTCCAACCGAAAATCTGTTATATTTGATCCAGAAAGTCCAGTATTAGCACGTAAAAGTTCCACAATAAGTACAGCATCGCTACATTCCGATTCAACCTTGCAAACATTAGTACCAACGGATTTACCGGAAAGTCCAATTCTGTTACGGCGAGGCAGTTCAAAACGAGCTGACAGAAGCCCAATAGTACAAAGAAAAACGGCAAATTCGATGATTGATTCAGGAATTCATTTTGCTTCTCCACTTCCGCCTCGTCGAAGAGAACTGGAAGCCCAAGGCCTGAGTTCACCTTTAAATAGACGAAAAGATTTAGAAACCAGTTCATATTCTCCAGTAATACGTCGTAAGGAGTCTCTTCTTTCGCAAACTCGACATGAATCTTTCAGACGTCAATCGGAAAATAGCAATGGCGATCCTGGACCATCCAGTATCCGAGATAATGTAACTCGTAAATATTCATTTCCGGAGGGTAAAATATGTTATGTTGATGAGGAGAGTACATATTATCATAGTGCAGAAGGTGAATTATTAGAAAGAAAATCATTCCAGATGCCGGTGATAGCATCACCAATCCTTCGTACAAGTAACACTCATAATAAATTACTGGTACGACGTGCATCGGAACGTATTGGGAGCGCAGAAGCTGTTGTATCAAAACTGTTATCCAGGCAATCACCGCCACTTAAATCAGATGCGAAACAAAGCAGCGTTTCTGTAATAGATCTTCATTCGATCGCCAGTAAGAGTGATGCTAACAGTCCTAAAGATATCACAGTTAGGTCTAATCCAGAAAATCATAACCGTAATAGTAAGGTGGAAGTTTACATTACTTCAAACACCGAATTTCGTTATTCAACTGTTAATGAGATCAGGAAGGCAGCAGTCATAAATGCTAATAGTATTCAACCAAAATTACCAAAGCAGCCATCGATTAAAGAAGCTAACAAATGCAGTAGCACTGAAGCAACTGCGACATCCGTAAAGAACGATATACGATCACGTGTACCACCTCAACAACGTGAGCCAACAGTTAGTAGTAGCAGCGTTCGAATTCGGAAGAAAACTCGAAGTATTCTAATGGAGCCATTGGAAGTGAACTGGTCAGTGGATGAGTTACGTTCCAAATTTCAAAAAACTTCTGAACCACCACCACTTCTTGATACTATTTATTCCAGTTATTCATTGAAATAAACTTAGAAAATCATTAATTGTTGTAAAGACTTATTTTGCAAATTATTTATGATTATATGAATGGAAATCACAGTTTTGTTAATTATTCCATTGGTAATTTTGGGGTATTCGAAATTAAACCCAATGCTTAGAATTTTAACTAATTAATGAATGATTCATTCTTCTGATGCCAATCATAAAAGGTATATTTTATTGATATCACTAACATTTTAACAGTTTTGAGAAGTACCAAAATATTTTCTTCTCTTGTTTTCATTTAACTGTAAACTAAACGGATTATTCTCTGCTGTTAATATCATTACGGTACTGTAAAATCCAAAATATTTTGGAATAGTTTCTGGAAACGGAACATATTATTCTGCGTTTCATTTATTTTATTATTTCTTTCATGTTTTTATATTTTGTGATTTAACAATTTGTTGTCAAAATTGGAAAAGTTTTCTAATAAATGTATTCGAAAATAAATATTTAACCGCATGAACAGTGATTGTAAGACTAGATTATTAATTTAATCATATAAGAAAAACCGATTTTACTTCATTCCTTACATTGTCACTTCTTCTGCTACTATATATTTAGAAGACAGTGGCATTTTTTGAAAAAAATATAAAATTGAAATTGAGCTTTAAATTAACCTTCCAGTAGACTCATTTATGATCGGCCAAATTAGTTGTTGTTCTTCTTAGCGAAATATTATAAAATTAAAATTAATCTTAATTTGGAATTAGCAGATTCATTTAATATCAGGTTCGGATGAAATCATTTCATAATTAATCATAGTGAAAATTAAAATAAACTATGAATTTCAAATCCATGTTTGGAAAGAAAATTTTTTTTGGAAGAGATGCTTTCTTTTCCTATCTCTCATATTCCCCCTTTCTTTTGAAACTATCCTTTAGATTACTTATCACTTAACGTTAAAAGCTATTAATATGATAAATGGATGAATATTAAATGAAATAATTTGACATTTCATTTACAGATAAGGAGAATAACTCTCATTGATAAAACACATGTCGGGAAAAGATTTTGTAGTTTATTTTTTGTTGTTATAACTTCGCAGCGTTGATAGTACCATTTATTGATTTTATATGATACGGTACAATATCGCACTGAAACAATAATAGGGACGAAATGAACAATACACAATAACTATTAAAGGATACCAAGCGGTTTTGTCGCTCTGTTGAACGTATTGTCGCTATGTCGTATTGTCGCCTCTCTGCCGTTGAACTGTTGTCAAAATCGAATGTCTATATGTCGTCTTGATTGCTTGGCGAGCTGCCCAACAAAGTGATTGCGGAAGCTGTCCGATTGGTTTAACTGTCAGACTAGAGGTTTTTGACATTTGTACATAAGTTCTTTGCAACATTCCGACAATTGCATGTAAGCTTGATTAATGGATTGAAAAAAAAAAAGATTCACAACAAAGGGTTTTGTCCACAACATTTAAACATTGCAGTTAAGATTGGTTAAAAAATTGGAAGAGTTGGATTTGGATGAATGATTCATCACTTTAGGTATCGAAATATTTATTTTATTGATTTTCTGTAACAAACCATTTGTATGAGAAATATTCTGAATTCTAATTAAAACAACTTTTTTTGTCGTCTTCAACAAGACATTGGGGATAAGAATGTGTAGGTATTTTTAAGTAATATCAAAACATTTAAAATAATATACAATAAACTGATAAGCCAATGGATAAGATCTAATATCGTCTCTGTCATCATGACATTTTTAGGCAAATAGGCTCCTTCCCAAATAATCTTGGTCCCCATTCAATAATTATTTTAAAATGCTTATTTGTAGTAAATCAACCAATTAACAATTTGTGATTAATTTCTGCTCTGGATTTAAAGTAAATGATTTCTGCTCATACAATCTGAAATTACCTCTAATTTGAAACTAGGTCTGCTAGTTTCACTAGTGAAGGTCAAGTTTAGACAGAAATATTCCTTAATCGGTCGAATTAGAAATTGGTTAAAATAAAATTTAAAATTCGAATTATTGTCCAAAAAAAGAAAAATAAAATGAACACTTCTTTAATGAAACACTGAGCCAACCATAATTAATATATGCTAAAATAATACCTGCCTTGCTAAAAATTCAACGAGACGATTACCTTTCTCGCAGGCGTAGGACCAGGTATTTCCGACAGGATAGAAGGTGAAGTAACAAATGGTCGTTTCCTATTATCTTTTTTTTCTTACTTTTCACTTCTTATTTTCTCTCGCAATTATCCTATTCATCAGACCATCAAATCTTTGGACAAGATCTATATGTATGTAGCCAGGTTTAGAATACTATTGGTCAATACAATCGATGCATATTGTGACAACAACAAAGGTCACAGTCATTTTACATTACCTCCATCTCTCTACTTCCTTCCCTCATTTCCATTTCATCTATGATATATCAAAGTTTTTCGTCCTTAAGAACCATTTGTTTTTGTCACATTCATTTAAAACTGTTTTTAGTTTCTTCTACATTTTGTTTATAATTTTACACTAAATTTTATGAATTTGCAATTTACATTTAATTCCACCTCTTTGCATCCTATTTAACGCTTCAGGTTCCATCCAAACAAAATACAAAACCTTTCAGGTAAGTTTAATTACTTCCATCTGACGTATTTCTTGCCTTTCCTCAATGTTCAATCCCATATCTTTTCACAATTTCATCATTGCCAATTAAATTGTGTTTCAATGGAAATTGAACTTTACATTTCCCTTATCATTCAATTTGTCATCTGTCAACTTTACGATGATGGCATTTTCTTCAAACGAAACCTTCTTTTCACTGCTGCTCATCACTACTACAATTGTTTCTAAATGCCTTCCACATTATAATTACACTAATTTCAACAATTCATTTTCTTGTGTCCATGTGAGTGACACATTGCGCCTGGATTTTTATCACCCACCCTCGCATTTTACAGTAATTCCATGTGAGATAGGATCATTATTTGTGTTATTGATATCAGAGATATTAGTGTGAAATAATTTTAAATGATATTTCCATTGCTATATATTTAAACTGAATTTTTTACGATATAAATTACACCTCCCAATTGATGACAAATGAAGTGTCAACATATCATTAATATGGCGTGATATTATTATTAATACCTCATTAACACGACATTGATATGAGGTGATAACAATAAAACTGATAGGAATCTCCCGTATCACAATAATCAGTCAGCATAGATTTCCTACACTGCAATAATAATATCAGGAAAAAAAAGTGCTGCCAATGATCACAATGTAAAATTGCAATGCTATATGCTATCGCTAAAAGGAAAGTACAAACGTAATGGTGGCATTAATATGGGCTGATGCATTAGTGATTGTTAGCTGATAACATCATTGTCAATCATTATCACCATCCATGTATTTAATACCTCACTGTCTTAGCATCATCATTATTATCAGCGCTATCATATCTTATTCAAAAAACATTTTCATTTTTTTCAAAGCTTTATTCAACATACTGATTCATTCAAATCGATTCTTATAGCTTCATTTCAATCAATTCTTATGCTTACTTCTGATTGATTCTTATTACTTCATTCCAATCGATTCTTATAACTTTATCCCAATCAATTTTTAATTCTGATTGATTCTTATTACTTCATTCAAACCGCAGTTCTTAAATGGTATTTATCATTTGCTAAATTTTAATCTACTTTTCAAATTTAGGGCACAATTATGATTTGGAGGAATTCTCCAATAATCATTTAATGTATTATCTTTATTTTAAACAAACCAAAATTTTAAAAAATCAGCTGATTAAATCACTAAAAACTTCAAAATTATTCACAAAAGCAAAAAGAAAAAGTAATAAAAATAAAATGGTCCATATGCAAATATCTTACAAACTGTAGAAATGCAAACAATCATTGTTTGCAAGTTACATTTGATTGGACAGTCCTGTCATCCCCTCTAGGACACTTAAAAGTTCTTCGTTTTAAAATCACAACTACCAATGAGATATTTGGTAATTTAGCAATTGCCAAACAAATGCTAAATTTATTGATCAAAGTGAAATAAACTTCCGATTTTTATAATGCGAAATTCATTATAGTTTTTTGGAATGAAATTTGAATTGAAATTTGAGATTTAAATTGAGTTCAGGTAATTTATCATTCTATCCATTGAAAAGTTCTTTTTTTCTTTTTTAATGGAATAATGGTTGATAATATCAATTAAAATAAATAACTGAAGCATTTTCGATTATTTTCAGTAAGGATACGTATTTTGGATGAAGATATGTATTTCGGATAAATATGTATATTTTGGGTAAAGGTGTGTATTTCGGGTAAATATATGTATTTTGGGTAAAGATATGTATTTCGAGTAAATATGTATATTTTGGGTAAAGATATATATTTCGGGTAAAGACATATTTTGAGGATATTGTTTGAAAAAAAAAATAGAAAAAATCAATAGCAACAATTCCAATTCACCATATCATTTCGTTTAATGTTGGCATTGATGAAGTGGAATGATTCAAAGTTTTTTGTTCGTTCAAAGCTTCACCAATGCTTTTGTCATTTTTTTTCCACGACATTTTTCTCTCTTTCTCTCTCTCTCTCCCTCTCTCCTTTTCTTTTGCCTTCTCTCTCTCTCTCTCTCTCGCTCTCTGTAACAATTATAATCATATCAGATAAACGATATATTTAAGTCAATTTTCATTAGAATTTCAAATATTAAAAAAAAAAAATGCAATAAGAAAGGGAAAAGAAAAAGTTTTTTCTGAATTCAGTAAAGGCAATTAATTGGTAATTTTATGATAGGAAGAGAAGAAAATTGAATTTTATAAAGGTTTAAAAACAAGAAAGCAAAAGTAATTTGTATGAATACAATGGGCACATTTATAGCTTTTCATAAACTTCTTATCTTTGAAAGTATTTAAAGAGGCAATGCAATCATAAAGCTCAAATAATTTGCATATGAAATTCCTTATGACTTTACTAACACTTTCCATTTCTAATTATTATTTACCTACTTATCAATAAAATAAGTGAACGTTAAACGTATTAAGTTAATGTTCATATTGTAGCTTTAGTTTACTAATTTAAACCTATTCTTACCATTACTTTTTTCCACTATTCTAACATGTTATTTCATTATTATGGTTAAAAATAATCGATTTATAATTTGTAATGATTTATTTGGCTTAATTCACATTGACACTTATCATTTCATTCAATTGAAATTTATATGATATAATTAGTTAATGTTAGTGATACTTCGTAACAGGTGTTTGCAAGATGTACTTTAGATTAAAATACTCGAAATGCTTCTTCTTATTTAAACTTAGCTGATGCTTACAAGCTTATGTTTACTTGATAATTATATTCTAATACCATTATCATTTACCTCTTAACAAATGTGCTCTCTCTTTAACATTATTACCAACTTTTTTTTTTTGTAATAAAAAAAAAATCAAAAAAGTTTTTTGGAAAAAAAATGCTTATTATGAATTACATTAAAAAGGAATGGAACTGAATTTTTAATTTATCGAAATGAGTAAAAGGAAATAATTGAGGTAGAGATCAAATATTTGACAAAAGCCTTCAAGCCTTTTGTGTCTGTCTGTGATATTTCAAATAAAATTTACTTCTCTCAAATCATTTCATTTTTTTTATACTGAATTTAATTAATACCATTTCTTAATGACTTTTCATAAAGAATGACATTTTGCGCTTTTTATAACAATTCATTGAAATTAATCTGTTGATTAGAATGTTTGGATGATGAAAGTTTATTCTTTCATATTATTTTCAATTAATCATTCAACCAAGCCAATCATTGCTAATTTATTATTGTCAGTTGGCAATTTTTCTCCATTATTCATCATATATATTTACATGCTAAACATCGTTTTTTTTCTTTTGCTTCCTCAATTTGTTTTTTCTTTATTTTTATTTTTTTTATTTTTTGTTGTTGAAAGCTTACTTATCGACTCACTAACTATTTGTGCTTCAACTTCCGCTTCATTCCGCTTTTTCCTCTTGGCATTATATTACTAACTTCATTCAATGATTGTTTGTTTGTTTGTTGGAAGCTTGTTTATTTATTTACTTGTAAACAGTTTATTTGTTTATTTATTTCTATCACAAATAGTTGAATGAATGATTTGTTTGAATTTACAACAATGAATAATTTAGCATCTCATTTACATTTTTTTTTATTTTTGGCTTAAGATACCCACTTTTACATCGAATAATTAGCAAAAAAATTAATTAACATTGATCCATTTGGCTTATCCATCTGTATGAATGATTGATATTCAAATTATATTTCATACCTGACTCAGTTTCAGTTGATACTTCTGGCTTGTCTTCCAGGTAGCAAAAAAAAAGGTGACCAATTGACTTTCAATTTTATCATTACTTATTTTAATTTTGCTACAGTTTTTATCATATGAAAGAAAGTTATGCAACGGTGCAACAGCCGTTAGTGGTTCATCAGTTTGGTGATAAAGCAATGACAGAAGCAAGAAATGCTATGCCGAAAGATGATCCGAATGAAAATATCAATCCGGAAGGTGTTTTCAAGCCACGTTGGGGACGACATCATGCTGGTGCTAAGAAATTAGCAGCTCTTTATAGTCCAGGTGAGTATTTCTTAATTAAGTGAGAAAAACAAAAAGAACTATAAATAGTATCAAAAAAAGTATTGGGAAATAATTCTGCTTACAAGGAGAGATATTACTGAATAGTTTATCTCCAGATGGAGTTTACCTGGAGAATTGGAATTTTCGAATTCTTGTTTTTTCAAAAAGTTTATCTGGGGAATTAGGATTAAAAATGATAATACCTTGATTGAAAATTTTTCAGAAAAGCGATTACAAGAAATCATTTCAACCGGATTGGGTATTATCGAATTGTTTATTGTTATATATCTGTTAGTACGGCGATTCGAACTGTCTTCTCTACCTTTCGTACTGTTCTTTGCACTTTTGGGCATTTTAACAGCTGATTTATTATCCGGTCTGGTGCATTGGGCTGCTGATTCCTTCGGTACTGTTGATACATTCATCGGCAGGGTCCGTTTTTTTTTTTCAATAGGTTCAAATTTTGATAAATTTAGACAACAAAAAATTTACGCCTTTAAATGTGGTTTTGAATATAACTTTCTTTCGGATATCTCTTTCATCTTCTAATAATTGACAAATTATCATTCCATAAATGGCCGTGATCTTTTTATCAACTATCACTGATTATTAAAAATTTTCGTACAGTAAACTTGAAGGCAATGTTTCATTTGCCACCAAAGTTCAACAAAACATACTTCGAAAACTTTTCCTTTCGACATTTAAGAATTATGCTGCGAAACTTTTCATGATAACATCTGTCTAGCAGTTGACGTATTTAATAGTGCTAAGGATATTCTCTGGAAGTAAATCCTAAAAAAAAAAAACAAAATTGAGACAGTGCAGTTGAACGACAACTTTCAGTTTAAGTTTCGACTTTTTTTTCCCTCATCTGCTAAATTTTCCCACATTAGTGTTTTATTTTTCTTGTAATTTCTGTCCTTCCCTAAATCTTCAAATTTTAAAAAGAAAAGATCAATGATCAAAATTTCTCATCTAAAATCATTCCGTAAACATCACGTGAATCCAATGTCATAATTTTATCGTTCATAAAACCTTAGAACTATTTCATAACTTATTAAAACTTTTAAATTCGTCTCAATTTTTCCCCCTTGAAATCCTATGCATACTTTATATTGCTTAAATAAATTTTAATGAATAATCTTTTTATTTTGTTGAAATCTTCATAAACTGAAACAAATTTTTTTTAGCATTTTATCCGACCATTCCGTGAACATCACGTGGATCCGACAGCTATAACACGTCATGATTTCATCGAATGTAATGGCGATAATTTCTTATTAATAATACCAAAGGTTACACATATCATTTATCAACATGTAACATTATCAGCTTCTGAGTTGGATACTTTGACAACATCACATTGGTTTTATTTACTTTTGGCTGTCTACGTTGCGTTTACCAATCAGGTACTACAGAATTTATAATTTGATGAGAATTTATGGTCAATATTAAATTATTACTAATCAAAATTAAACAGGAAATTTAATTAGAATAATTCATATAGCTGTGATCGAGGATGTCAAGACAAATCTTTCAAGATATTTCAATAAATCAAATAGGCTAAGTTAAGTGATTAAGTTATATTAAGTTAGTTTGAGCTAGTTTTGAGTTAGTTTCTAGAAATTTTGCCAAACAAAATATCCCTATCCAGAAATTACTTTTATTTTTGAAATTGAAAAATTAAGGCGCATAATTCAAAAATGACTGTCTCATTCTTTTTCCAGATTCACAAATGGTCACATACATATTTCGGATTACCACGGTGGGTAGAAATGCTACAGAATTGGCGCGTGATAATTTCACGTAAAGGCCATAAACTTCATCATATTTCACCACATGCATGTGGATATTGCATAACTACCGGCTGGCTTAATGGACCATTGGATGCAATTGGTTTCTGGCGTGCTGCTGAATTTATTGTCACCAAATTAACGGGAATGAAGCCTCGCACTGATGATCTGAAATGGGCAAAAGCTTCTTGAACCTATTAAAAATAGTAGAATTAATGAAAGCTAATTCAATTGTTGTCAACGATTTACGCTTTCCAGTCAGTGGCCTTTTATTTCACTGGAATGAATCTATTGTGAAAATCCAAAATTAATTTAATTAAAACTCTAAATATTTTGTCGGTAGAGTCTGCTGCCTGCTGAAAGCTTACCTAATATTTCTATGTCTCGTTTAAAATGACATAATTAATTGATTTTCTTGAAATCTGCCAACACAAGCAACAAGTACTTGAAAAAAGCTAATTCTTTTTCGAGGCTTTTTCGTTGAAAATTTAATTTGTTATTGTAATTTGATTTAATTGCTAAAATTTCAAAACTTTATTCTTTCTAAATAATATGTATAATATCTATTTATTTGTTTTTGGAATGAAAAATGTATTTGTTTGTTTTTTCTTTTTTTGTTCAATTTTATCCTCTAATTATTAGGTATTGTCTTTGCTTTACTGATAAATGAATGGATGAAAATACCATCCAACTGGTCATTTTTTTCATTTATCAAAAAAAGATTATCTGTCATCAATCGAAACTCACAAAAAAAAAGAAAAAGAAACATGGAAATGGAAAAAAAAAGTAGAAAGCCAAAAAAATGCATGACAAGAAGTTGGGAAGTCTCAACTTTTCAAATGTCACCAAAGGAATAGGAATTAATCAACTTCAGCAGCAGACATTCCGAGTAATTTGAGAGATTTGTATTATTAAAAGAAATTGTTGCTATTCATAAATTCAAAAATCAATACAAACATTAGGAATTACCGGGTAGAAGTGAAATACGGTAGCATCCGATATTATTTTTGCGCTCCACTCTTCACTCATCCACTTTCTTCTCCTTTTCTTTCCCTCTCTCTCTACTTTGTCATCGAGTGTCATCCTTCATGTAGCATTGAGCGCAAAAAGACATTTCTCCCCTCTGTTTGAATACCAAATTTCCCATGTCATGCTATTATGTTATCATATTTTACACGATGAATTATTTTATATTAATCATTTCTCAAAGAGAGAGAGATCACTAGTTCTTTAATTTGCAATATATGTATCACCAAAACAAGGGCTTTTCTTTGCAATCAGTAAAGAAACAAGTTTTTCTAGACTTGGCTCTAATATAAATTTACAAAGTTATAGACCCAAGCCTTGATGCCTGTATGATATTTATTCCGTATAGTGAAACATTTTAGATGGAAATTAGAGCCAAGCCCATGAAAAATTTTTTTCGCTATTATTTGCCAAGTCATTTCATTGGCCATTGATTCTGCTAAATAATAAATATGACATTGGATAATTACGCTTGAAATGATTCATAACCGATAACGAAACAATTAGATGTAAATACTAAACAAATGTTGGTGACATAAGGCTCGTTGATGCAGAAGCTGAATCTTCTTACGGGATAAAATATTTTTATTTTCGGGATAAATATAAATAGTGCAGGTTATCCTTTTATTTTTTCAATAAAGTTTCGTGCAAAACCTCCCAGGAGCCAAGGTGACATTATTTTCATGTCCTGTCCTAAACCTAACTTTGTATCATAAAGCAAAATTAGTCAGCTATTTTGGCTTACTGTTGCATACCGATGCGATATATGTAAACGAAGAAACAAGGAAAAGTCATCTGAAAGATACTTCTCTAGCATTAACACGGATATTACTGCAATACAAATAGATTTAGAACACGTTAACCAGAATATTGAAGTGCCCCAGAAGTAACTCTTGAGACCAATATTGCATTAGAGTTATTCATTCTTAGATTTATTCAAGTAATCCGATCATTTAAACGAGTCTTAGTTTTCAATCTAAGCTAGATCATAGATAATCATAATTGATCAAAATCGTCCGATCACGCGGTCGCAATACACAGGTTGTATTACTGCTAACCATTTGTAACAATTTGGAAATGATATTTTTCCCAAAACAGTAAACGAGTTATCCAGTAGTTCTGATCAAAGATCACTTGTCATAAAATTAATTGTTTATACAATGAATAAGCTATCGATAGTTAACTTTATTTGTAGTGAACATAATAACAACAGTTCAAACCAGAAATTAGAATATAATACAGAATGAAAATTAGAAGGTTGACAGAGTTGGAAGAAAATGTTGATAATAAGTAAGCAAAAGAATGTGACAGTCTCCCGTTGTGAACTTGCATAGTGGACGTGTCTATATACGCAAAAAAAGGCATGTAAGATCTTTACAATATTCCAACAGCTAGATATAAGTAATTTATATGAAAGATTAATTCTCAGATAAGAAGAATTTAAATATGAATTAATTTGCCCGATGTATACAAAGTTCCCACTACACCATATGATTTGAAGACTAGCTAAATGACACACATCACTTTTGGTATTAAAAAAATTATTTTTTTTTGTGGAATATGATAAATCCTTCATCTAATAAATATCCTTAACAATCTTTATGCTAAAATTCTGTAACACAATACTTTGATATATTGTAAAATTCCTCGATTTCCCAAATCGAACAAAATGATTTATTATTCGACTTATGAAAATATTTACGATAATTCCATTTCGAGTAATAAATTATTCATCTGTCAATTTTAATTTGCCCGAGATATTTCTATAGCACAAAAATACTTTAAAAGTTTAGTGTACTATTTTTATGACAAACACTATTTAATTTTACTGCCGAATTATTAAGGTCAACTTAAACGACCTTTGATTTGATGATAACAATTCAAGAGTAGGACTTAAGATTGTCATAAGGTTTACTTAACTGATACTAATGATTTGAATTTATCTGAAAAATTATGCTTGAACGTTCTCAAACCAAAGTTCCACTTAATTAAGGCAATGGCAAATTGTTTCACCACGATAATGATATCGGAAAAAATTGGTATGTGATCCTTGGAAATTGCTACCGCCTTAACAATAAGGTAGTTCATAACCGAGGAATTTCCAGAACTGCTTGGTAACCCCGACACTGTTCGCTGAACCAGACATGAATACAACTAGTGAGGGCATTACAACTTACCTCTCTTAACTTTTCGGTCTTGGTTAACCATTAACTAATTAATTGGTCATATATTAGTGTCATTCCCTTCTGGCTTCACTTTTACTTATTGCTAACTTCCGTCATTTGTATGTTCTGTGCTTTATTCATTCACTGCACATAGCATAAAAATTAACAATCCTCTTCATTTATGTACGACAAACAGTTCAGATTTACGCTGGAAATTTTTTTTTTGAATGGAAAAAGAAAAACAAATTTTGACACGACTTTCAAAGTAAGGCATAGATGATAATGCGACACAAGCATGATGACTTTTCCATCCCAAATGCTCATATCTAACCGATACAGTAACAACGGAAATCTAAACATTTGGCAAAGTGATTATGTTAATCTAACAAGAAAAGCGAAATTATCTCTATAATTAATTAATGTAAATTCAATTATATGTATAAACAGATAAATAGAGAAGGAGAGAGGGAGAGAGAGAACCAAACAAGCAAGAAAAGCGTGTATCATACTACCCGTGCAAATAGAACTGTAATCATATAAATAATAATGAGGATATTAATTCTGGTCATACATAAATTAGGAGAGAAGACAGAAAAACGAGAAAGGAGAAAGCGCAAAATAGAGAGATAAAGACTGGAAGAATAAAACAATGGACATTGCCTATCGGTACATGTACAATGTCCGAAATGTGAGGAAAGTAAATTGAGTGGGTAGGATTTCAAAAAAAAGACCACTTTTGATAAGAGTGCAAGCAATATACTATACATAAATTATGTCAAAGCAATGAACTAATTAGTAAGTGATGTTGACTATGCCACGAAATGATAAAACCAATGATCAATCTGTTTTATTAGAGTTTGTGATAAGCGATACAAAGTTGTTGTTATATGACATAATCATATTTGTCATAAAGATGAAATAGAATAGAGTACAGGAATGATAATAATAATGATAATAATAATAATAATAGTAATAATAATAATAATAGTAGTAGTAGCAATAATAATAATTAATAATTAATAATTAATAATTAATAATAATAATAATAATAATAATAATAATAATTATTAATTAATAACAATAATAACAATAATAATAATAATAATTAATAATAATAATAATAATAATAATAAT